GCGGTGAGATACATGGGGGAAGGAGGAGAGGAAATGTGACACATGAGAGACAGAGGCTTTAACGTAACCCATTAGATTCTAGTAGTGTCGACTAAAATCTACTGGAGATTTAGTCGACTAAAACTAAAACAATTCAGATGACTAAAATAACACTAAAACAGGTTTTTAGTCAAAAGACTATGACTTATATTAAATTGAAATTTGCTACCAAAATTAACACTGCTCTAAACTAATGGAAATAATGTCGGTATTGAAATCTGTGAGAATAAGAAATATTGAAGAAATTATAATGGCATGTGAATTTGAAGGTAACAAAGTTGAGAAAAAGTTGAGACGTGTAAATTGAGTGAAAAGAAAGCAGAAAGTCATACACAGACGAAAAATAAATAAGCTGGAATGGAAAAATCTTTGTGGTCGCCCCTGAGTCAAATTAAAACGTGTTGTACTAATTGTAACTTAAACAGCTCCTGTAACAATGAGCCCCCATTCTGTGTTGGGAAGAAAGGGTTAAGTCATACTATTTATTTTAAAGTGTCCACCCTTCACTGAAAAATAAAGGCACAGGGCAAGGCATAGCCAGTAACCTTTTAGTCAGGTGTAGGACGGAGGCTGGTTTCAGAAAATTTGGCATCGCACCAGCATATTATAAAGACTTATATTATGTAGATCTCAGAGGACCCAAGAAGGGCTCAATCATTATCAGACTGTGATTTCCATCATAATGATGGTGACGCAGGCTCTAATCTCCAAGCAGAGATGGCTCGGAGAAGCTATTATGTAAGTCAAAAGATGGACTTGCTTTTACAATCATGCGCTTAAAAATCACTCACAGAACTTCCTCACACATTATAATCACCCCATCTTCTGCGTTTCCTCACTTATTAATTTGCTTTTATGCAGAGCAAAACATGAGCTCTGCAATTCACACGGGCAATGTAAAATGAATGGGAGGGGAGAAAGAGATAAGAGCATTTCAGGAGACAGAGAAAAAAAAAAAAAGGAATCCTTACCTGCAGAGCTAACCATCTTAATTATGCATAGAGGAGAGATCTGGCTTATAGGTTTTACACTTCACTAAGTATAGAGAAAACTCTCATCCTACAGAGACTACATCTAATAGAGATAAGTTTTAATCTATACATAATCCTCAGGAGTGTCAGACTCAATGGCTGACAATATTAATAATAAAGTGCTACTATGTAATATCTGCATGACAAGTGCACTTGAAGCAAAGCATGACATTACAGCTATGCACAGGGGGTTATTATATAAAGAACTAGTGTGGAACACCGCTCTAGCAATGGACCAATCAACTGGAGCATGCATTCCATTGGTTTCCATGGTGATTTCTTCACTTTCAGAACTTTGAGCCTGAATTGCTCTTTATATGTAACACTCATTATCTTAAATTGTGAGCAGATACACAGATAAAACAATATTTTTTTCCATTAAATGTAACAAAGCAACCTTTGAGTACACCAGTGAGAATCTGATATAGTATGGAGTCCAGGAAAAAATTTTTTTAACTTGGTGGAGCTTAAAGGGACGCAATTAGCTAGAATTAATTGCCCTACACCCCTCCCTCCGCCCCACATAGATAATGCAGAAAAATGCTATTAAAAAAGTTAAAAACAATACGGTTAAAGCTCTAAAATCCACTAGACTTGCTCCACAAACCAGGAGCACCTCATGCTGATCCACGGGGTCTGATTTTATTCATAATTTAATTTATTTATAATTAACAGGATAAGTAGTTAAGAACTTTAGAGCCCCCACACACAAGTAAAACTGCTCAATAAGCGGATAGCCGTCATACAGAGGCTTTTGTCAGCCTATTTTTTTTTTTTTTTAAACCTCTGTATATGTCTCTCCAAGAGAATACATAGATTCCTGTCCTAGTTATCATTTGTTCTGTGATCTTCATGCCTTTACACAAAGCTAATGGCCCTTGTTCAGATGTGTATACGACTAATACAGCGCTCTGGGTGTGCTGGTTTTCTGTACGCTTAACAGTATATATTTTGTGTCTTTCTTGTGCAGTATGATCAAACAATAAAACTGGTTTGAGGGGGAATAAAAATAGGTTAAGATGTGCTCTGGAAGCATAGAGATGGTTCCAAATGTCATGTCAGTAATAGATCATTAAATCTATATATGTGCTGGCGATTTCATTACTGCAGTATGCTGATTAAACGTTCTAAGTTACATGAAGCGGACCATGGTAGCCACACATGCGGATCGTAGGTTCATTTCAAAGGTGCTGTGCCACCTACTGTGCTGCATACAATACTTATACATAAAAAAAATTTAAAAATAGAAAAATAAAATATCAGGAAAAGTATATTTAGATTATCAGATCCCAAATATTTTCTGGGGTATCGATGTGATCATCACCCAAGTTTATGGTACATGCTTTTACCGCAGAGGAAGCACGGCTGAGATGCCCATGTCATGAATCAAACCAGTGATACACTGCAGGTGGAGCCTGACCCGGCAAGTCTTCTCACTAACTGAATATAAAAAAACCTCACACTATGGGCATTCTAATTCACCTAAATACTTACTTACACATTTACAGCACAGGTGGAAAGTTCATATCTTTCCTAGGGACCACTGGTTGAGAGTTAAGATTGGTTATCCCAATTCTCCAATTGTTTTCATTAACCTCTTAAAGGGACTCTCCAGTGCCAGGAAAACATGTAAGTTTTCCTGGCACTGCATGACCCTGCAGAGCCCCCCTCCTTTCCACCCACCATCTCATGTTAAAACCCCTTTAGTGACTTACCAGAGTCCAGTGCGATATCCCTCGGCGCTGCGTCAGGCTCCGCCTACTCCCCAGCCAACGTAACCCAGCAAGGGAGATCTAATGCGCATGCGCGGCAATGGCCGAATACGCGCATTACACCTCCCCATAGGAAAGCATTATTCAATGCTTTCCTATGGGGATTTCGGCAACACTGGAGGTCTTCACATAGCGTGAGGACGTCCAGCGTCGTTTAAAACACTTTTCGTGTTCTATGAACATGGAAGTCCCTCTAGTGGCTGTCTGATAGACAGCCACTAGAGGAGGACTTAACCCTGCAAGGTAATTATTGCAGTTTATAAAAACTGCAATAATTACACTTGCAGGGTTATGGGTGGTGGGAGTTGGCACCCAGACCACTCCAATGGGCAGAAGTGGTCTGGGTGCCCAGAGTGTCCCTTTAAGGATGGAGGCAATTGTATAAGTTCTGATCAAAACAAAACCATTAATTTGTGCCTTATGTCTGTTCAACTGTATTTTACCTTTCATATTAAATACAATCATTTTACATTTCACATCAAATATTAAGATATGAGAAATGAAGAAATGTTATTTAATTAGTTTGGCACAATTTAACTGTAAATGTCATAATACTGTTAGCTTTCACTGCAGTAAAATACACATATTTGTGTTCAGTAATGTCTCACAAGTACAACAGCACCCCCCATGTCCAGGTTTTATGGTGTTTTGGAAAGTTACAAAGTCAAATATAAGACTTGCCCATTGAAATTTGCCAGATTGGTTATGTTGTCTTTGAGACCATATGGCAGCCCAGGAATGAGAATTACTCCCATCATGGCATACCATTTGAAAAAGTAGACAACCAAGGGTATTTAAAATGGGATATTGTCCTTTCTATTTTAGTAGCCACTAAGTCACAAACCCTAGTCCAAAGTATGCGTTTATATTTGTTTTATACATTTTACTGTTTCAAAACACCCATGTTTGTGTTCAGCAAAGTCTGACAAGAAAAACAGAACCCCCCCGTGTTTTGGAAAGTTATAGTACTTGCAAATTAAATTCTCTGGACTGTCTGCCTGGTTGTCAGGCAGGTCCCTCAAACCGTAATTAGTAAAATCACATAATTATGTGAAAATATGACAAATATATACATAGAATTTTTTTATATATATTTAAAGTCTACGTGCATATTTTCATCTATATATATATATGCTTAAATATGCCAATAATTTATTTCATTTTCAGGCATTAGTAGGACAGCCTAAGCAGTCCTCATGCAGGTAGATGCATTGCCTGCTATTGTGGCCATGTGATCACTGGATCACATGTTCCACGGAAGCAACTAAGGTGCCCAGGCAGTCCCCATGCAGATAGATTCATTGACTGCTATTGTGGCCATGTGATCACTCAATCACATGTTCCACGGGAGCAACAAAGGTGCCCAGGCAGTCCACCAACCTGGATCGTGGAGACCGAGACCTCCGGGCGTTCTATGCCGCCCTGCGGCATTAAGAACATTGAGAATATCCCAAAAACATCTATAATGCAAGGGCTTATGTAATCTGAAAGCTAATGGAAGTTACTGCGCAGGGAACATCAGGTTATTCAGCATTAGTAGTGTAGGCGGAAGGTGGCGTCCTGCGGATGGCAGGTAAGAAGTTAAATTGTTCAAATACAGTTTGACTACTTACGATGAGGGGGTGAGGGTGGTGTGGTGTGTGTATGTAAACACTCCTGGCAACATAACCAGTACAGCGAGCTTGAAATATTCCTTTATTTAAAATTACAGATCAATAAAACTACCATGTGAGCTAACATACGTGCACATGTATTAGCTTGCCAATAGCTCTGTGTTTACATTCATAAATGGAGTCATTTGCAGTTATAGTAAAGGCTGTGGATATTTTATGTTTGTAGACACAGCATGGACCAATCAAAACATATTTATTCAATGTTTATGTGATTTCTAACAATGTTTTTCACTAGACTCCAAATGGTGTAGGGGCACATTGAGAATAAATAGCATGAACAATGTCCAGATTTTGTAACGCCGATCTAGCCTGAATATAAACTGGCTTTCAGCAAAGCCGAAAGCTGGTGGACGGTTAAAATCCAGACCGGGATTGTTAAAATCTGGGCCCGGATGCTTCGCGTCCAAACCAGGATTTAAAATGTATTTTTATTATTTATTTTGATTTTAATATGGCTAGCAAGTTCTGGCCTGCTGCCACATAGTTAACCCTCACGCAGCCTAGGTTTCTTTTAACTATTTGCCCGCTGGCAGAGATACCAGCCAGCGGTCAAATAGTTAAAAGAAACCTAGGCAGCGTGAGGGTTAACTATGTGGCAGCAGGACAGAACTTGCTAGCCATATTAAAATCAAAATAAATAATATTCCCAGGCAAGTCTTAAGAGAAGTAAGAGTTCCTTTTCAGAGTGCTCTACTGCTTAGCTTGCAAGCCAACCAATCAGAGCCCTCTAGTGCGAATTGAAAGTGTAGGAAAGCCTTTTTAAAGGGCTAGGGACCCCTAGCCACCAGGAAATGGGAGATGATTTAAAGGACCACCACTTGTTTTCCTGGGACTATAGGGTCTTAACCCCCTCTCCCCCCCCCGGGACAATTTGGTGGGGATAGACATTGGCGTGTCCACTGCCACTTGTATATTTAATTGCCCTTTGGTGCCGACTGGGGGAGGGGCATTAGGTTCCTTGGTTTATTATTATTATAACCCCGACCGCCGCCCGTGGTTGGGAAAATTAGGTCACTCACTGTGTCAATTATAGCCTACCACCCACCACCTCTGTGCGGGGAGTTTGGGGCAAGGGTTTGGACAGTGATCTGTCCACCCGCCATTATTTAAAGTCCCCCACTTGTAGGCATCACGTGCCATGTCTCCTCCATTTTTTACAGGTTCTATCTCCGAGAGATGGTCTTCTATAACGACAGGGCAGAAGTTACTACAGTTACAGTGAGCAGCCACTGACTCATTGGTATATATACCCCCACCAGTCATTTGGTGTGTGCGGGTAAAAGGGAGGTTGGACCCTCACAGGCAATTTTATTTATTTATTATTATTTTTTTAATGTAGCAGTTGGATAGGAAGTTAGCAAGCACTGGCTAGCTGTCACATGATTAACCCTTGCACCACCAATGGTTATTTAACTATCTGCCTGCCGGCAGTGCTGGTATTTAGTACTTCAAGTTATTGTTTGCTTGCAAAAAGCAAGTGTACTATAATTTCTAAATGTGCGCTGGATGCATTTAGTTCGTTTTTTTTTTAAATCCTTGCTTTGTAAATATTCAGAATCCTATATTTTGTAAAGGGTTCGGATGCTAAAATAACTGATTTTAAACCAGACACTGAATTAATCTGGCAGATTTGGTCAGGTTGGCTAAATTTCAAGCAGAATTAGTAAATGTGAGAATTGCTATTCTGGTCGGACTTTGGTCTTTTTCACACAAAATTCAGTGTCTAAATCTCAGAATGGACTGACTGATCAGCATTACTGGACTGCACACGGCATACTACAATCTACTTGCCAGCAGCCATGTCCACTACACACTGCCATCTACTTGACAGCAACTACGTCACTGACAAACTAGGGGTAAGAAACAGAAAGCAATTATGGGGAAAACCCATTCTTTTATGTTTAAATAAGATGTTATGATATGAAATGATAAAGTGAATTACTCACAGAACTGAAATAACAAAAAAAAAAAAAATCACTCAAGAGCTATAAAATATAATCTACATAACTGCATTCCTAACCTATTAAGGAAAAAAAAAACACAGAAAAACGCAAAACTGTTAAAGGAACACTCGAAGTACCATAACCACTATATATTAAAGAGCTAATCCAAGCACCATGACTACTTCAGTGATTTGAAGTGGTAATGGTGTCTGGAGTCTGTATGTGAAGTGTTTCATTTTAAAACACTGCGTGTACGGAGTTAACCACTCTGCCGCCAGAGGTGTAACTCCACTCCTGGCAGCATCATTAAGGTGTCATCAGCCAACACTGAACTAGAGTTTCAAGCTTGCTAATGTCAATTCTTTCAGTGGATAGAATGACAGTTATTGGCTGCGAGCTGTCAGAACACAGAGTGGCAGACACGGCAAGAGTGGGATGCAGCGGAACAAGAGGGCAGTTTTACTTTTATTATTTTACTTTGTAAAGGGAGGTCCTGAAAACAGCCGTAGGAACAGTAACGTTTTAAATACATATATATTTGGGTTGTTTCCCGTGCCTAGACTCACTCCATGCAGCTCCCGCTCTTTGTCTTCTCATCCAATTAAATGCCTCTCATAGAGAAGCATTTGGATGACAATCACATATGTGTCAAGCGCTGCACTCGTCCAATCATATGCTGCTCACATATAACTATAGTGATAAGCATTAGATGACATGCAGTGTGTGAGGATGTCAAACATAACAAAACAGAGTTTGACTTGCCTTATCAACAAAACTATTTTTTTCACTGCTAAATTGACAGGGCCACTGGTCCCAGACAACTTTGTTGAGATGAAATGGCCTATGTGCATACAGTGGTATTTTAAGGAATATTGCTAAAATATATAGATTATGTATATGTAATTCATTGCTATAAAGACTTCCTGTTAGAGAAACCACTATATAGCATTACAATCCCCCAATGTTTTGATTTTTCAGATTTATCTGTATAATAACTTCACATTTGCGAGTCATAGAAAATATTTTAGAAGAAGTCATGAAATCAAAACACTAAAAAAAAAGCTTTTAAGGCAATTCTATATCTCTAACAAGAAAAGAACCGTCCAAAACAGGATCGGGGCATCTGCAAGGTAAAGGACCGGATCCCCAACAGCCATGTCATTATTGGTGGCCTTTGCATATGCAAAATCCCCAGATGGTGACAGTGCCACTTCAAGTGTTTGATGAAGTGTCGTATTTGACACTTCAACGAATCAGTATGGCTTATTCCAGCAAACCATTTAGTGTATCAGCATGGCAGCAGAAATGGGCAGGCACCACTCAACATCTTAAACAGGGTTGGATAACTGTGTAGTAAGAGGAACACTTGTAGATAGGTAGGGAAAGGGGGATGGCTGTGGAGGGAGTGGAATAGAAGAACATGGCTGCATTAAATATGTAAGACTAGGCTGGAAGAGCAACATGGTTGCAGGAAACACCGATTGTTTTAGGGAGAGTATCTTGACGGGAATTGACATGTGTATATGAAATTACATAATGAGAATGTGATATGCTCCCCTTTTTGTTTAACCTTCCAATTTGTAAAACAAATGGAGACGGGATCTTAAACTTTTCCAACTACTAGGAAAATGTATTGCATGACATGTGAAAAAATTAAATGTGAAAAATGTAGCTTAAGTAGTAGTACCACATACAATAATTTATAACAATCCTAAATACTGCTTATATTATCTTACTTATGACCTTTCTGACTATCTTTACTTCTGTTTTTTCCAGGAAGAAGACAAAGATCTGGGCCAAAACACAGGGACCCAGTTCATTTGGTAAATAGTGACTTAGCTGCAGAATGGCAATCACCACAACTACCACTACCACCACAGCTATGGCAGCTGCTTCGGCAGCAGCCACCACAACAGTGACTGTCACCACAGTTGCCATGACAACAGCTACATTAGATTTGCGTGACTGGCTTTTCCTGTGTTATGGACTTATAGCCTTTCTGACAGAAGTAATAGATAGTACTAACTGCCCATATGTTTGCCGTTGTGACAACGGCTTCATCTATTGCAATGACCGGGGTCTAACTTCAATCCCAGCAGACATCCCAGATGATGCAACGACCCTCTACCTCCAGAACAATCAGATCAACAATGCTGGAGTCCCAAATGAGCTAAAGACTAAGATCAATGTGCGAGTTATCTACTTGTACGAGAATGACCTTGATGAATTCCCTCTAAATCTTCCCCGCTCACTTCGGGAGCTTCACCTCCAGGATAATAATATACGAAGTGTGACCCGTGATGCTCTGACCCGTATTCCACTGTTAGAGAAACTCCACTTAGATGATAATTCTGTGTCAACAGTTAGCATTGAGGATGATGCCTTTCTGGATAGTAGACAACTTCGCTTACTGTTCCTTTCACGCAATCATCTCAGCAGTATCCCCAATGGCTTGCCACGCACATTGGAAGAGTTGAGGTTGGATGACAATCGAATCTCTACTATACCTCTCCATGCTTTTAAGGGACTTAATAGCTTGAGGAGGCTAGTGTTGGATGGTAATCTTTTGGCCAACCAGCGCATTGCAGATGACACATTTAGTCGCCTTCAAAACTTGACAGAATTGTCCCTAATTCGAAACTCATTGATAGCGCCTCCACTAAACCTTCCTAGTACTCATTTGCAGAAGCTCTATTTACAGGATAATGCTATTACCCATATCCCATACAATACTTTGTCTAAAATGAGACAGTTGCAAAGACTGGACCTGTCCAATAATAATCTCACAGCTCTCCCCCGTGGTCTTTTTGATGACTTGGAGAGCCTATCTCAGCTCTTCCTCAGGAATAACCCTTGGTTTTGTGGCTGCAACCTTATCTGGCTGCGGGACTGGGTGAAAGCTCGAGCAACTGTGGTAAATGTTCGTGGGTTAATGTGCCAGGGTCCTGAAAAGGTTCGTGGGATGGCCATCAAGGATATCACTCATGAGATGGATGAGTGTTTTGAAGGAGGACCACAAAGCAACGCAGCGTCTGCTCATGCTACTCCTGCTGGTCCTGTAATAACAACCCCACCTCAGGGTTCTCTCTTTACCTTGAAATCTAAGAGGCCTGGGATTCGATTGCCAGATTCCAGTTTGGACTACCCCATGGAAACTGGAGCAGGAACAAAAGCCTTGGTTATTAATGTGAAGCCACTGACAGCAGACAGCATTCGTATAACATGGAAATCATCTCTTGCTGCAAGTTCCTTTCGTCTCAGTTGGCTGAGACTGGGGCACAGCCCAGCTGTAGGTTCTATCACAGAAACCTTGGTTCAAGGAGACAAGACAGAGTATCTCCTCACTGCCCTAGAACCTCGTTCTACCTACATCATATGCATGGTAAGCATGGATGCTGGGAATACTTACCATGCAGATGAGTCACCTGTTTGTGCAAAAGCAGAAACAGCCGATGTTTATGGTCCTACCACTACACTGAACCGTGAACAAAATGCTGATACACTAGCTGGATTACCATTGGCAGGCATTATTGGTGGTGCAGTCACCCTGGTCTTCCTCTTTCTCATTCTGGGATCCATCTGCTGGTATGTCCATCGGGCTGGGCAACTGTTGACCCGTGAACGAGCATACAGCAGGGGCAGCCGTAAAAAGGACGATTATGTTGAATCAGGCACAAAGAAAGACAACTCTATCTTGGAGATAAGAGGACCAGGGCTTCAGATGCTACCTATAAACCCTCATCGGGCTAAGGAGGAGTATGTTATTCATACCATATTCCCATCTAATGGCACTAGTCTTTATAAAAGCACTCACACGATAGGCTACAGCACTCATAGAGGATATAGAGATGGTGGTATCCCGGACACAGACTATTCCTATACATGATAAACCATATCAATGGACTGATCAATTCCCTCATTCCTAGTGAAATCTCGTTTTTATCTGTGCCCAGAAAGGATTCACAACAAAGAAATAGGAAAACAAACAAACTTAAGCTGTGAGGCAAAAAACAAAAAACAAAAAAAAAACTGGAAAAAAAAAACCAACAAAAAACAAAAGAGAAAAAAAAATAAAACGAGACTCCAGGGGATATTTTGTAGGAAAGGGGACAAGAATAAAATATTAAAATCCCCACCTTTGACAATACAGAATATAAAAGTAGTAGATGAACAGTAAGTTGAAACGGTTGTGGGAGAACTCTAACGTTTAATACATCACTTAAAAAAATAAAAAAATAAAAAAGATACATTGTGAGCAATGCAAGTGCTTGGATACCATTTGCATACATCCTGAGGGTTCTTTTTTTTTTTCTTTCCCTTTTTGTTAAATTCAGGGTGAAAATGAAAACACATGGTGCAATGAACATCTTACGTCTGTCACCAACAGAACAGAAATTGTTTTGTTTTTTCCTGCAAGTTTATTTTTTTCTTTTTCTATTTCACTGCTGGTGGAAATAAATTTAAGGAAAAAAAAACAAAAACAAGATTTAATTGTGGAATGGGAAATATTTTTTTTTATTATTATTATTTCTATTGCAGATTACGTATTCACAGATTTCTGATGAACTTACATTACTTTCCAAACTGTTATTTTGAATTCAATGGTTAAAAAAAAAAAAAAAAAAGTTTAGTTGTTATAAGAGGAAAAATATAAATTGTTACCTATTAGAGACTTTATACTCAATAGACTTTTTAAAAATTAAATCTGTGGAAACCCTTACTGACACTAAAATCCCTAAGCAGATACCTGTAGCGTGTGATGGAGATGCAGGGTTTAAATGTCCAAATGTATCATACACTTCAGTTAATTGAGAATGAGAGCCATGCATCTGCTAACTTTCAAGACATCATTTTGCAGTGCCCCCTGTGGTTAATTATAAATAATACATAAATACAACAAAACACAATTATATAGATATTTATACATTTTTCAATTTAAGAGTTGTAAAAATATATTATAAACAAATACAAATTGAGGAATTAGTTTAGGTAACCCTGAAGTTATGGAAAGAGGAAGTAATTATGTTATGCAAGGGGTTATATTTTTAGTAAAGTAATTGGAAGGCTAATGTTAGTCTTAAATTCTGAAAAAAAAAAAATTCACTTGGCTTAAGTGATGGATAAAAAACTTTTTGTGAAATTCCAGCTCTCTATACACAGGTATATTTATTTTCAAACAAGAAATGCCAGATTTGGATTGTAAGCTCCACAGGGCAGTGATCACTGGCACCTGCCTATTATCAACTTTACCGTGGTGTTAGCATGGAAAAAAACAGTTCTTGATCACAGTAGCATTTCGGTAAACTTACATGTGGTAAAAGATAATGAGTTAGAGGGAAAGGCAACTTGCGTTTGACCTTTTAAATTCCCAGCAGTAAAGTGAGTGGAAATTTACAGATTGTGGCTTTACTACAGCAGCATCGGCTGAATGATAGACTGTGGCTTTTGGTATATTTTCAGTTATTACAAATAATAGTAATGTGTAGGCTGTATATTGCTGCCTTATAATTCCTTATTGCCAGGTAAAACAATGTCAAACACCAATGATACAGTGGTCTGAAATACTCGACATCCAGAAAAAGTAAAAATAAATAAATAAGAAAAATGTTGTGCATAGAATGTATGCACGACCCCGAATATCAAATGGTAATCTCAACAGTCCTCTTAATGTATTATGCAATTTTGTTGTCATTAAGTCACTTTGCTCTTTTTAGTTTAAGGCTCATGTGTCTTTCAAAGAAGTGGTTTTCGTTTCCAGTCGTAACCCTTTATATAAAAGGCAGGCAACCTTCAGCACACCAGTTGTGGAGATACGACTTCCTTGATGCTTTGCCAGCATTATGGCAGATGTAGCCCACGACATCTTGAGTACCAAAGGTTGCTTTTCCTGCTCTATATCTTCTATAGTACGTGTTGTAAATATCAGATGTCCCAACACAAGGTACCGATCTCTAATTTTTGGTCCAGTGTTTAGCAAAAGGGTTGAACCCCATTCTCTGTCAGTATTGATGAATAAGAAAATGTACCTAAGTTATCACTGTTTATCTTAACTGCCTTCAAGTAGTGGTTTTCAAGTGAGCTAGTCTTAGCTTTATCAGGTCCATTTTCTTCAGCTAACCAATTTGGTGGAGAAAAGCAGGGTGGTCAATATGATCAATAAAGCTAATCACTCCTTTTGGGTGATGGGATATATTTATCGTTTAAAGGGGTACTATGTGCATTTCCATGAGCTAAATGAAGGTACTCTTGGAAAAACAAGAATTCCATTATACAACGATGAACCCTTTTCATGCCCTAGTCATCTAAAACATAATTCAGTCTTGCGATTTTGGCAAACATACTGACTTTTGTGATGTTGCATGGTCAGGTGAAAATCTTCGATCCTCGAGTGAAAGCAGCTTTGAAGGTAGCATGCAACAACCTCTTGACAGCAATACAAGTGTATTACAGTTTCACTCAGGGTAGGGAGGAGGAATAAAGCATTATCATTTTCCCATAGAAAAAGTGATACTTTCCCATTAGGGACATGCTCTCATGATGAGTACAGATGGATCTGTCAGAATAACTGAGCCACTGAAGGATAATTCATGTACTCCTGGGACGATATTATACAACAGTCACCGTTAAAGGGAATTGGGAACTGATGTATAGAACCCTAAAGGAATTTCATCGTATAATAAAAATAAAGTACAAAAATTAATTACCCTAATCTTCCCAGCTGTATATAATTGCTTTCAACTTTTTAAGTAAAAAGTAATTAAATACACCCCTATATAATTAAAATTTACAGGACATTGTAAACAGAGGAAGCTATGCCAAAATTGAAAATGGAAAAATATCACTGCATGATCTAGGTTTACACTTTATTTTAAAGGAAGAATATTTTCTGAAATTTTCCAAAGCTCTTCCCTTAAATTAGAATGCTTTTCTAAATTAAGTTGTTATGGTGTCAGAAAGCCCAAAGGCACTCTAACCTCAAGGGGTAAACCATTCTCAAATGTTTTAACCCCAAAGTTGCCTCCATTGGCGATGTCCACTCCCCTAGGTGGCATCCAGCTTCTGAATTTTCAGAATTAAGAAGAGTGGAGTGCCACCAGGAAGAAGTCAAATCCCACCTGGGGGAGAGTTGACATCGTTGAGGCTTAACCCCTTGAGGTAAGAATGCATCTGGGGGCCTCCTGGCACCATAACAACTTTATAGATGAATTTAGATCAAGTTATTTATGTGCCTGGAGTGTCCCTTTAAGTCCGTAATCAGTCTTGGAGTTTATGTAATATATCCCTGTTTGGAGAGTATAGTGCATAGCGTCATCTTCAACCCGACCCTTGAGATTCGGCACTAAAATCCCCCTTCTTCCCCAGAGACCTATGGAAAAAGTTTAAAAGCAGGAGTAGGATTAATCATTTACAATTTAATTAAACATCCTAACCTTGGATAAATCAAAGCAAATGGTAATAAACTTCAAATATATCAGTTTCTAACTGTGCAGATTGTTGGATTGTTACAAGAGGTTGATAAAGGTTTTCAATTCTATTTCACAATAAATACCTATTAAACATATCACTGTCACTCAGCCATTTTGCTTCTAAATGGCACGGACCTTTTAACCTATTGAAAAAGTCCCAATCAACAAATTACTTTGCCAACGCAGTGTTCAGCTGGAGGCTCAGGGCTACATAGGAGAAGTCATTAAGGCACCCTATCCCTACATGGATTTCACCCTTTATTCCATAAAACGTATCACTGTGAAAGACAAAGAGAGGACCTTGCTCTCAAACTGACATTAATTCGTTCTTTTCTCACTGATTTCTCGGTGTCTGCTGGCGGATTTATATTAACAAGCAATTTGCAGTTCTCTCTGCTAGAGAAATTCTCTCTGTAATATGTGGAAAGGAGCCGAGATGTGAAAGTGTAAGCAGCAGACAAAAGATAAAAAAAAAAATGATTTTGGGAGGTGGGGGCACGCACAAGGGAGATGTAAATTTCTCGCCAATTTTAACAGAGGAGGGAGTGGGAGATTATGGATGACAGAGTGTCTGCCCGAATTTACAGGAAAAGGTGCTGATAGTTTTCATTACATTTTCTTGCTATGAAGAGACGGGAAAAACACACCTGCAAAATCTCAATTCTCCTTTGTTAATTAGTTCATATTTGTGGAAGGGAACACAATCCAACATAATTAAACTTTAACGATGGAGAGTTTAACATTAGAATGCTCTCCATTCTAACAGTGCCTAACCCAAGGTTAAATTTGTGATTGGAATTACTAAATTTTGTAAATGCTGTGACACAGCCCTATTATAAACATAGTGAAACACTACAGACCCATATATATATATATATATATATATAAATATATTTATATACACACACACACACACACTAATCTCTCCCCTTAAAAGGAACACAAACATGTACTCCTGTCACAATAGCTCTGAAAACCTAGTTTAGGTTCCCAGCCTGCCGGTAACCAGTTTAAAAGGAGATATTACTTACATGTATTCCAGCACTGTGCGGGACCGTTGCAGCTGGCCTCGAACCTTTCCTTAGCTAAGATCATCAAATTTGACTATCTCAGCCAATCCAATGCTTTCCTGTAAGAATGCATTGGGAGGGTATTGTGCATGCACAGCTCCAATTCCTCATGGAGATGCATTGAATCAATGTGCACCTCATATAACCTATTTAAGAAATTAGACAAATCTGCCACTGATTAACCTAAATATGAGGCACTACAGCTAATTTCAGGTCTAAATTGTAAACTTACTTAAAGGAACACTATAGTCACCTAAATTACATTAGCTAAATAAAGCAGTTTTAGTGTATAGATCATTCCCCTGTAATTGCACTGCTTAATTCACTCTCATTTAGGAGTTAAATCACGTTGTTTCTGTTTATGCAGCCCTAGCCACACCTCCCCTGGCTATGATTGACAGAGCCTGCATGAAAAAAAACTGGTTTTACTTTCAAACAGATGTAATTTACCTTAAAGGACCACTATAGTGCCAGGAAAACATACTCGTTTTCCTGGCACTATAGTGCCCTGAGGGTGCCCCCACCCTCAGGGTCCCCCTCCCGCCAGGCTCTGAAAGGGGGAAAGGGGTTTAAACTTACCTTTTTCCGGCGCTAGGCGGGGAGCTCTCCTCTTCCGATCCTCCTCTTCTCCTCCCCGTCGGCTGAATGCGCACGCGCGGCAAGAGCTGCGCGCGCATTCAGCCGGTCACATAGGAAAGCATTATCAATGCTTTCCTATGGACGCTGGCGTGCTCTCATTGTGAAAATCACAGTGAGAAGCACGCAAGCGCCTCTAGCGGCTGTCAATGAGACAGCCACTAGAGGAAATAGGGGAAGGCTTAACCCATTCATAAACATAGCAGTTTCTCTGAAACTGCTATGTTTATGAAAAAATGGGTTAACCCTAGCTGGACCTGGCAGCCAGACCACTTCATTAAGCTGAAGTGGTCTGGGTGCCTAGAGGGGTCCTTTAAATAATTGTATCTCCATCTCTAAATTGAACTTTAATCACATACAGGAGGCTCTTGCAGTGTATAGCAAGCTATTAACATAGCAGGGGATAAGAAAATCTTAATTAAACAGAACTTGCAATAAAGAAATCCTAAATAGGGCTCGCTTTACAGGAAGTGTTTATGGAAGGCTGTGCAAGTCACATGCAGGGAGGTGTGACTAGGGTTCATAAACAAAGGGATTTAACTCCTAAATGGCAGAGGATTGAGCAGTGAGGCTGCAGGGGCATGTTCTATACACCAAAACTACTTAATTAAGCTAAAGTTGTTCAGGTGACTATAGTGTCCCTTTAAAATCTGGAGTTGCACTTTCTGAGATTACCTCGTGATCATGTCACAGCATGAGATTGTAGAGAACTTTGCAGATGCAATGCCCTATTTTGCTACAATCTTACCCACTTTGTGCTGAAACACTCAATCTGATATTATGCATAATGCATTTTTTTTTTTTTAGGAGACCATGGCTTGTGAACAAGAAAACCAATTCCCATGTCATTTTCGTTAACATTCCATTCAGGTTGGCTGAAACAGGGCAAGACATTTGGGCAGGGGTATAACTTTTTGCAGGATGTGTCATCCCAGTTTTGTTGACACACTGATTGTAATTAAACTTCAACTGGTAAATCATGGCACACGTAAACAAGATACATAAAACAGGCTAAGCCACCTATTTTTTATTTTTTTTTATCTGCTATCCCAAAAGATAAGGATGCTGCAAGATACTGCAGACCGTTTCCAATCAGAAATATTCAGTAGGTGTTAACAGGCCTGTCGGCTTATTGTTCCTTATGTGAACCGGCCTGTAAATTGATCTTCTAAGGATATCCTTGGACAGTTTGTTGCCCAATTGCAGACCTCCCAACCGGCCTGATTTTAGTGGGACAGTACCAATATTTAGGTCCTTTCCGACTTTCTCCGTCTTAGAACCCTTTCGGGGAATTGGAAAACTGTCCCCAACAATCACAGTGCTCCATTAGACGTGCTCGCACTATGTTCAAGGCACTTGTACCTAGCAAAGAGCAATGAAACGGTGCTCCCTGCATGTCCTGCCTTCAGGTTATTCGCTGACATTCACACCAGGCTAAATTCAATAACTTGGGCAGATCAACCCCCTTTCGGCCAGGCCTGCTTCTTTGCCCCTTTCCTACCTCCCACCGGCATCTAGATATTCTAAACTCCAGAGTTGTAAAGTAAGAATTAGTTCCACATGCCACAATGCTGTTTAAGCATACAAGCAGCAGTTTTGTGTTTATTAGTGTCCACCTGAGGACAATATTTACAGCCCCTAAAATATAAAATAATCAAACATGTTCACTTATGTTTAAATGAATCAGTTAGCTTGTCTGAAACACAAATAATGTTTAAATAACTTTTAAAAATAATAGCCTCTTTATATCAATATTAAGTTGCCCATATTTCCAATTTTTTTTTTTTTTTAAACCAAACTGTAAAGAGAATATTTTCCTATAAGAGGTTTATAAAGCCTGTAGGACAGTGCACACACATTAACATATACCTTAAAATCCATATAAAATGCAAAGGGGATTTCAAAGGTCAGTCCCATAATAGGATAGCAAACAAGGTCATTGATATGTTCAGTCGATTGAAAGTACAATATATACCTCCTGCTGCTATAACCACAACTATACAATGCCATACTACAGGTATTTAATCCAAGAAATACAATACGATAACCTTTTTCATTCAGTCTGAAAGACCTTTCCATTCAAGATAAAGAGCCACTAAACAGGGTTTCCTTAATATTTATTCTATGACTAAGGTAAAGGTATGAAAAAAAATATTACATTGATGTATAGGATAACATGGCGTGTATTAATCAATTTTATCCTGATCGGGAAAACACATACTATACTCAAAAGGAACAGATGTTTTGTCAGTAGGCTGAGGTACATTTAGATATGGATAGTGTACATCCCCAGTCTAAAAATATTTTACCCCAATCAAGTTTATTGTGGAGAGTGTAAAATGATGTGCATACCTAAAAATAAATATGCTAGTTTTCAATTTCTACGGCAGCTAAACAATTTTAACTTTTGTTTTTATCAAAGGTACAAAAGCATTCAAAATAAAAATGTAATTTCACTTTAACAAATAAACTCTCATTGCTACTAAAATCCTACAACCAAATTACTGGAGGGAAGGGGGAGCAATCAAGCTGTATGGTTGTGTTGGCTGGGTCAGAGCTGTCAGAGTAGCAGAATCATTTAGTGTTAAGGTTGCACCTTAACGTGTGAGATTAGCGGAACACATTGATTGAAAATGAAAGTTACAGAAGCTTTAAATTGGCAAACTGCAGGCAGTCACTCAGAGGGTCTGATCACACATTTAACCTGCAATATTCTAATAAGGAATAATGGCAGACTGTGTGCGTGTGCACATATACATTCTACAAGAGATGACCCCAGGGTTTGTGAAACTATAAACAATTAAATAATGAACATTTCCCAATCTAAACCAACAAAATAGTCGTAATCCCATCCTGTTAAAATAATTATTCATCTAATCACCTGCATTCCATAAAGAATTTCAGCTGTGACTGTGTGACATGCTAGCAACAGATGCATACTAGAAAGATAGAAAGTATTGTAACCTCTGATGGAATCTGTGCCATAAAATGCTAGATTAGCAATACCAAACAACAAAATATTACAATACTACCAGAGCTGAACAGAGACCGTGTTCTGACTTGAACACGGATGTGCAGATATAGGCATTTTGCATGAAGGCTGCCTAAACTGAATGAACAGACACAGAAGCCAGCTTTCTATATAATATAGCTAAGAAAAGATAAAATAATTTATCTGTATGAGGGGGAGGTGGGGGAACACACACATTTATTCCCTCTTGTTCTTCTGTGGAATGTTCATGAATTATTGCGACACTTTTCAATGCGTGACAATCAAGCAAAGTGTGTGACACTTGTCAAAGCTGTGGGATTTATCAGTGAGATAGGATTTTGTGTTATTTAAAGTACGATTGTAGAATCATTTTGCATACACAATCTTTAGCAGACATGATTAAGAGTGAATCTGTGCAATCAGCAATGCGTGAATATTTCCGTTTGAGCATTGTCTCAGTCTGCATTATTTTATTAATGAACCTATAGAAGATCAAAAGAAAGTATAGAAAGTATAGTTTAAAAAAAATGTTCCAAGAACGTCTGGATGTTGTTATGTTCATGTAATCTGTGGTTCCCCCATTTTATTAGTTGGAATCTATTCTCCTAGTCTGAAATAGCTCTAAAAATATAATTAATTTTTTTAGTAAAGTGAATTGTCATGGCCGATAGACACTTAATGAAAGACCTTGTCAACATTTAAAAAAAAATTCAATAAATACAAAAACAATTATACAGTTACATAGACATTTGTGTTTAGGAATTTGTAGATACATGCATATTTCCCAGTAAGTCAAATATGATTTAGCAAATCTTTATAAACTGTACATACATCAAAATACATCCATAGTTAACGTTAACAATTCATAGGTTACAAATTAGGTTTTGGAAGTTGACTATCATATCAAATTAATATTCACTTTGGAGGAGACAGGGAGGCGGTGTGCGTTGTGTATTTTAAACAAATTACAGTAATATTTGCCCACTGTGTGGGTTTTATAAAATACTACGACACTGCGGTTTGTACTTTGGTAGTGTGGTAGATGCTTGTAAACGGATTAACCAAATGTATTTTATGACTGTTTTAAAGCCACTTCTAAGTTTATTTTGCCTCAACAGCTGCTGGGTCTGTGATATAGATGATGGGCCCACCAGTTGTGAAAGGGTGTTCTGCGATTTGTGCAGCAACATCTTAAAATGGGAATTGCCTTCTAAAATAGCATTTTGTAAGCCTGGAATCGTGTCTAAATTGTAATAATGTTAAATGGATAGGGTTTAGCTGTTCTGCTGATACAGTCCTTGGCAATGCTGCAGTAAAAATATTAATCCAAGATTCACAGCTTGGGATAAGGTATAGTGGTGACATGCCAGACCCATACAAAAAAACAAAATATATATATATATATTAACAATAAGGTCACATTTTCAAAAGGGTGCTTATAATAAAGGGTATGTCTTGGAGTTAGTCAGGAGAATTTGGGGGCAATATTTTTATTTGCCAAGAAAGTTGTGCATGTGTGACACAGTGTTCAAGTACAGGATGAAAGAATGACTTCAATAAACACATTGCTGTACTGTACAACTCATGAAAACTAGCATTAAGATGGTCTTATTGCTTTGAGACTATTCATACTGCATGGGCTAATTAGTATGTATCGGATTATTTTTCCCATTTTGCATTTAAGAGTATTTAAAGGGAAGTGGCACATTAGTTGCAGGGGTGAAAAACTATTTTAAATACCTCTGGACAAATTGGTATATAATCTATTTTCTGTATTCCCCGACTTCTATTAAAATAATGCACAAATGAGTAGTTCATTCTCCTTTAATAGTACAAGTATTGGTAGGCCATTTTTAATGCTTTTTCTTGGCCAGTATTGATGCTCTCTTGTGGTCCTGCACTGCGAGGATTCTCACATCCTGTCCGTCACTATGATTCACTCTGTGTTGGGCAATGTGGGAGCAATGATATGGTGTGTTAGGCACAGTATAGGGTTGCAATTATTTTTTTTTTGTAGGATAAGAGGGGCAGTATAGACAATTCTGATTAGCATGTTGTGACCTATACCATATTTAAATAGCCATTTTTATCTCTCTCATATATTAAACTGCTTACCCCTTTACCACACTTTTTTCCCCTCTCACCACTCACATCTATTACTCCTCTCTGTCAATTTTACTGTTTTCCATTATATTATCCCAGATTCTACAATTTCTTTTTTTACTTAATCTAAAATCATTGCCTTAGTCCTTTATGCCACTTTAAACACTATCAGGCTTTTGCGTATGGTGAGTTAACTAGTACTGTAGGCAGGCTAAGCATCACTGGAGTTGCAATCAGAGCAACTGACATGTCAGTGGTTGCCCATTCCAATATTTTTAATATATAACATCTTATATCCTCATTAGCTGTAAACATGGGGTTTCTGTGTAAATGCGAAGTTTGTGTTTCACATTAAGTAATTACTTAAACTAGACATGCAAGGAAATTGCCTTTCTATCAATAAAACAATATAAGCACCTGTCCAAAGAGATAGGATTGTAGGGAGAAGACCTGATCCCTACGGATAGATTTCCAGGAATGCTTTCTTATAAACGTATTAGACAGCCCTTCCCAGCAGGAATAGTCTTGTTATCATCTGTTTAAGAACACATTAGTTATTCCAGTTAAAATGATGACACATGACAGTAATCCAGTTACCTAGCTAGTGGAATAAGCAGAGTTCCCTGGGGTAGGAAGCACTGGCTGTGTTAAAACAAACTCTGTAACGTAATTACTTGCAGATTACACAAGCCTATTTACAGCGTAAATGGTAGAAAGTCATCAGCAATTGAGATTAGGCACCTCTCTTCCTGACACCTTAAAACAGTGGCAATGTCTATCATCTGAATTATGACGGCTGCAACATTCTATACACAGAATCTGAGTAGCAGGTATAGAACGTCTGCACTGCAGTTGCATTGGACATCATTATACATACATAAAACAAGTGGAGCTTTTAAATATCAGCAGGCTTTCTGTGAAAATAAAATACAAACAGAAAATAGTGCAATATGTCTGTAACACACTATATCGAAAATAGATTGGAAGATATGTCAAACTCACAAGCCTGGAGTCATACCCTCATATGACTCTGGTGGTATAAGCTTCTGGACCATTTGGGGGTTGTCCAGACCCTTCTTTGGCAGCGTGTTGAATGTTGAGTGGTTCCTTTTGTGCCCTTCCAACTGGTTTCAAAATAGGGATAAATACCCAGTGTGTCAGGGTTCTTTAAAAAACAATTTATTCCAAAAAATTGTACAAACAAGATATATATAGTAAAAAAGAATACTTATCCCAGGTAGTACTGGGTAGACTTAATAGTCCCAAGTTCATCATTGTCCACCACGCTGATCATGCTCAAAACAATGTGATTGACAATTTGTGAGAAATGTTTTTTTTAGGAATTATGTAATAATGGGATAAGCATGTAGAATTAAATTTTACACTAAAGGACCCTTTCAGACACGTGGCCTTTCAGACCAGCTCACATCAAGCACATTTACAGAGGCTCGGTCAAGTCAAGTGTGTGGTCTTCACATTTTGTTTTTGTAAAGTTGCACAGATGACATGTTTGCTGCATGATGGAAGGGAAGTATCCTTCCTCAAATCTCTCCATCCTTAGAACTGCTATAGTCTGTTTTTTGGCTGGTGGAAGGTGAATCTGCCAGGAGCTGCATTACGCTTGCATAAGTATGAAAATACAAAACGAGGGTCAATTGAGTATCCCACAGGAACCAACACAGATCATCCTGCAATTGTGCAATGATGTACCACAGATGTGAAGATGCCTATTCCCCATTGTTGAGAGTTGGGAAATGGCAAGACAAGGAAGCTTATTAATGCATTATTGCTTTCTCCCATATTATATTTGTTGGGTTTTTGAGGCCATATTTTGACATAATCCAATACTAGCCTACCTGTTTCATGTATATGTTTTGAAATGTTCTGTGAAATTGCAACAGAGTATTGTGTAAATTGTTCCTAACGATTTTCTCTTTATGGAAAACTAAAAAGTGACAGTGCCACTTTCAACAGAAAATATTTTCATTGATTGATGCAGTATGCCCATCAGCTATAGCACATGTACATACATCTAGCCATTTTTAAAATCTAATGTTGCAATTGGAAGGTTTTGATAATTAGTTTCTGGAGTGTATTTCCTTCTGTTTTTGTGCCTCATGCTTTGGAGAATAGGCGATGGCGTAGGAACCAAAGTAAATCTGAGAGGACAGCACATTTATTCTCTGCCCCATTTACAAAGCATACATATATTTCAACTGAAAAAAAATATCATATCGAGGCCCTTGGAAGTCTATTAGAATTAATTAACCCAGTCTTTAAACTTGTTTTGTTTTTTTAATTTTACTTAAACAGTGAAACAATCTTACAAGCCAGATTTAAGGATTTTTCCCCCTACACCTTATCCCCCTGTTCCTACACACATGCGAGGAGGCGCCTCCAAATCTACACCTTGTTCTACAAATAGGAGATTGTGGGGAGGATTAGCAGTCTCTTCCCGAGGGACCAGGGGCACTCAGTGGGACTGTTAGCAGTTGTAGGCTGTAATGTGATGTGGGAATCCCAGCTGTCAAGCTCACTGTCATCTCTCCCGCTTTGTGTCTGAGCTAAGCCTGTTAGTCTGTGACCTCCAAGACACCCAGCATCTGGGAGGCTAAATTGGATAACGTCTCTTTGCACAATGTAGTTACCGGATATGGCAAGATTAGACATACACACATAGCAATGAACCTTACAGCTGGCAGGGTACAAAGAGCACAAAATAAACACTTTGCCCGCATACATCAAGTCTTCCATCTTCTTACCCAACATTCAGTCTGAGCTTGGGTTTTGCCTTTTAGCAGATCCGAACAAACTTTTATGCCACAACTCTCACTAATCACTGTCAGACAGAGGCAGATGAAGGATGATGTGGATTGCAGTCCTAATATGTTGAAGAATTGCTGGTTGCCAGGCTATATTTTGCATTCTACTCTATGCCTAGTTTCTACCACCTTTTCTGGGTGTCCGCTGCACATAAGTTTCATTGTTACTGCGAAAGAGTGATAGGAGTTCTCAAATGTGTGCAAGTGGAGTGTTGCGGGATGCTACCCTTGATCCAGTATTCTGTTGTGTCTGCCTTTTATGCTGCAACTGTGTCATGATTATTGATGATCAACTTACTTAGCTTTGCACTCAGTGAGATAGTTTTCCTTGTCTCTCTTACGCTCTCTGAAAATGCTTTGTCGGTGCACTTTATTAAACCAATTATTGTAATGTCAACATTTTAGACGTTAGATAATATCCACTTATTAAATTCCTTGTTCCAGATTCAAGAAAAGGCTTGTAAACAATTTCCCTGAATCCTCCAACACACACACGTGGTTGTACAGTTAGTACCATGGACAGAGCCTGCAATGTTATCTCCAATGCTGCTTTTATTTGGAACTTACATCTGCAGTACATCTGCAAAACAATGGTTTTTTTTAAAAAAAATTAAAAATAATAAAATAAAAAAAGACAAGCAGATGTACGGAGAGGAAAAGCAACCTTAATAACATTAGATTTTATGTAGGCTTTGCTTAAAGCCTGCAAACTGCTAATCTTGAGAGTTAACCCATCATTGCTAGTAAGTTTAAAAAAAAAAAAAAATGTTCCATACTAGAATTCCAACACCCATTCTAGATTCTACATCTCAAAGCAATACCCACCACAAGTAACATGCAAGAATGTATTCCTTAAAACAACAATATATAAAACAGACAGTGCAAATGTCCAGAGGAAAAATAAATGCTTAATAGATGTATTATAAACCCAACCACTGAACCATATAACCACAATATCTCCAAATCCTGTGAACATATAACCATAAAATCCCCCAGAATATGCCAAAGCCGAAAAAGATCAAAAAAACAAAAAAACACTTAAAAACATTAATAAGTGTAAAGCACAAGTTCTAATAAGTGCATAAACATTTCACTAACAAGTAACAGCTTAAAAATTAAGACAGAAAATATGTACATAGCTCATTGTATAATTAGTGACTAGCTATCTCTGTGTACCAGATTTCTTTTTGGGATCAGTAGCTTAAACCTGTGTCTTCCAATTTAATATTCGCAAGCTCCTTCAATAAAGGACGGATAGGTATTGTATTATACTGCTAAAAACACACTTTTAAACAAATATATGGATTTTTATATTTCTTACTGGTGAAAGTAACTTATTGTATCACTCAATTATTAAATCATACGCTGGTCTCACAAGTTACCTCATCATAGAACTGCAAAGAATAATTGTTAATTTTCAGATAGTTATTAAGTGAACCGTTTATGCACATACTTTAACTTATTTTATATGCTCATTTATGTTTCAAAGTTTCACTGGGAAGTATAAAATTGGGATTAGGCTGGGAGGGTGGCATGTAAACGATGTGGCACGCTTCATAGGCAATAGATGGGCAGACATGCCTGGAAAAAGCAGCATGCCAGCCTGGCGCTAATGCACATCTCACTGCCCAGCCCATTCTGAGCTGCACATGTGCAGACTGCTCTGCATGTCTAGCTATGCCCTTGTACCATGTTTTCTGTGTGCTTTGTCTTCCTTTTGGAAGAGGAAGACAAATGAAAAAAATAAATAAATCGTGTTTGCAAGGTTTTGTTGAATATCTTCAGCTTTCTATGGGAGAGTTGTAAAGCAGTATGGAGTATGTCCCATTTTCAATTATCTGGAAGTGTGACTGGAATGATACCTGGATGCCCTTTACCAACTAGTATAGCATAAATTCACATCAAAAGTTACATACATATATATCTAGCATTGCACAGAATCACAGGTTAATACATTGTATACACTAGCAATACTGTGTGAGGAAGACCATTATAGGATAAAGTAATATACTTATGGTGACCCTTTTTTGGTTTGACTAGTAGTTAGTACATAGGCAATGTGTTCTTTATCAGCGAGTGGCTAATCTGGGAGTGATTGGAATTTTGTGAGTAGACATTACTAGCAGTCAGCCAGCCAATCAGTCATTAGCAGTCACCACCAGTTTACTGACCATTGTAAATAGTGACCGCTTATGGTAGCTATTTACCGACAAGACTAGAAACAAGTAAAACAGCTCTTGGAGTATACTCTGTGGGCTTATTAGTACAACAATACAGCAAGCCGAGGAAACAATATGAGGAAATACTCTCCATGACTGTACAGTCATAGAGAGGATGGTTATACTAGAATAGACAATGGTATATTTGCCAGGATTCCAAATATGTGCAGGCTTTACAATCAGGTCTGCACTAATATGTACAAGTTAATACTACAGACAACTCTACATGCAAATTAACCCCCATGAGGTGCCTGGGTGACCAGCTGGGTTGGCAAACCTTACTAAAACGGTTTAATTATTTACCACGGGATGGCAATACTACCACCATAAGCACTTGAGTGCACTGTAGTTGCTTGGAGTGTTCATTTAAATTAAATTGGATTCTTTAAGTTTTAAATTTAATAGTTTTTGTGAACATTTCTAATTCAGTAAACTGATGAAGCAACAGAAGTTGCCTTTTTATGGAGAATGTTTTGGCCCCAAAGTCTCCCTGTCAATGCATCTCTACAGCAGATCTTGCCAGCACTGGACCTGAAATAGGAACTTTAGACCTATCTATCTGGACTCTATCATATTGACCTTACTCACACAATCTTTTTGTAAGAAAAGCATAGAACCCTGCGCAACTGCTGTTGATTGATGATCACTTTTGAGCTCTTCTACTAAAGAGTTATTCCCAAGGCTATCCTTCAGATGGCTTTAGATTATGAAATGCCAAGATCCTCAGAAGTTCTATTGAAATGCACCTATGTGCAGGGCAAGTTGAGTAAAACTGGAGAAAAGAAGGGGGAGAGCGGACAAGGGATAATAGATTTGCATTGCTGTTTTGAAGTGGTTTTATTACTTTAGGTCATACAAATTTAAGGGGCTCAGCTTAAGAACAAGAAAAAAAAAAGAGACCTGCTTTTTTAGATCACGTCCAAAAATGCACATTTGTTGATACTTAATTTGACTGGATGCCTGGTATGAGAAATAAGCAACGTATCCAATGCTGTCTTTTGTACAGTTGGATTCTCATTATTGTGTTATCAGCTGAGGTGCATGGGAGTTGTAGGTCAGTTATAGCACAATCTCTGTCTTTTGATTACAATGAAAAATATAATAGCAAATACTATGCAGTACAGCGCAAACTAATATAATTGAAAATCTTTTAAATAATTGTGTTTTTTTCCTTTTTTAAATATAAATAAAAATATAAATATCTGTCAACCCATTCCAGCCTTAGATTTTATGCAAGAGTGCGCCCTATTTTAGTAAACTGCTTATGGACTCAGTGTTTAGATTGGAGAGCTCAGTCTCTTATTAGGAATGTCTCTGTAATGTTTAATTTAAACTGATTTAATCTATAAAATATTTAATTCAGAGAGTGGCTTCTTCCTTTATCTAAGCGTCTCTGTTCATTGAAATCTCCATAATTGAAACACGGCTCCTGACATTCCCCTGGATTAATCTATTTTGTTTACCAAACCCAATTTATAACCAAGGAAGGTGATGCACTGCATTAAGTTTATAAAATAATCATATCACATTAGGGAATTTTTATACTTTTTAGGTTTTCGATTTTTATTTTTTTTGTTGGTGATATGAAGCATTTTCATTTGCTTAAAGCCAAGTAACATGAAGATCTATGAAACTAGCATGATTCGGGATGCGTAGAGTAGAGGAGCAAGCCCTGGTCTGTCCGTTGGTAATATTTGGGGATGGTGATTATTTACTAAATTACATTTATGTTCTCAGTTTAATGCATTTTGCTAAGTGATAGATGGGAAACTTACAGGAAATCCCCTCCTCAGCCAACATTTATTCAAATCTCTGGTGATAAAAGTTATTTATTTAAAAAAAATCCAATTGTGTAGATTTTATTTTTAACATTAAAGGACCACTATAGGCACCCAGACCACTTCAGCTTAATGAAGTGTTCTGGGTGCCAGGTCCATCTAGGATTAACCCTGCCTGCTGTAAACCTAGCAGTTTCCAAGAAACTGCTATGTTTACAAATGGGTTAATTCAGCCTCTAGTGGTTGTCTCATTGAGAAAGGTGAGTGTTTAACCCCCTTCAGCACGGCGGGAGTGGGACCCTGAGGGTGGGGGCACCCTCAGGGCACTATAGTGCCAGGAAAACAAGTTTTTTTTCTTGGCACTATAGTGGTCCTTTAACTGGGTTATTTACTAAATTGGGGAATGAAAAGTGAATATAAAATTTAAAGAGCAAAAACTGATAAAATATGCATTATTATTATCAGTAGGCAATGCTACCAGTTCAGTTGGTTTGGCCTTAACTTGGAATTTATCACTTTATTTAATAACCATTTAAAATTAAAAATCTAGGACAAAATAGCCAAGTTTAAAGTAAATGAATTGCATTTTTTTTTTTTAAATCCACTTTTTGGGCCTAAATTGTGCACATTAAATTGTAATTGCTAAGTATTCAGTATTTGCTGGTTTATAGGTGTTAAAACAGGAGTGGTTAAATCTCTGTAGACATGGTAACAAGACAGACAAATTGTAAATTACTAGGTAACGTGCTCTCTTGGGGAGTTTCCAGAGTGATAAAAAGTGGGAGCATAAAATAATAAATAATAATAATTGCATTTCATTGCACATTTTCCTCTGGATAATATGAGACTACTAAAGTAAATATATATATAAATATATATACAATTGCACTGCATATATTTCAGTAAAAGACTAACAAAGAATCATATGCGAAGTTATCAACACCACTTAGACCTGGTATGTTTCTGAACTACAATGCTCATGACCTACAGCCAGTATATATCCACATAGAGCAACCTGCAGAATAAGGTTATTGTATATACTTTGTCTATTGCATACAACCTCTGATTAGCTACCTCCATACTTGAAAGTGGCCCATTCATTGAAATACTGGATACAGTACATTTTGGCTACTCATGTAAGCATCACTCATTCCAAGATTAAAATTTTATTTATTTTTAAAGTTCAGGCCTTCCTTGTAGATTCAGGCTTCCCTTGTTTAAAAATTAAGAAATGTAAAATACAACACCACCTAAGTCTTTACTTGGCAGCTGCTCTGCCTTCTGTTCTGGTGATCTCAGTAAAGAATCATCAGGGAGAAGGGCAATTTCTGAACCTCACTACTTTGATGCTTCTCATTGAGAAGCACTGAATTGGATGCTTTCAGCTGATTTGAAGGTCTAAGGAAGTGCATCTAGTGGCTCTTTGTCTTCCAGCCACTAGAAGTGTTTTTTTTTCTTCTCAGAAATGTATACCATTAACTATTTCTATAGGACTGTATTAACATCAAGTCTGTAACAGTTGCGAGTAAAGTAATAAAAAAAAAAAACTAAAAAAAAACCAAGGTCCAAGACTCAATGGCATTCCAGTTGCCGTAGACCACATCTCCTATGATGCTTTACTCCATGCTTTCCACTGCAGTTTGAATGCTAAAAGCTGCTTTCATTTTTCTAAGTTTGACCATACATGATCTACCCAATATCAGGACCAATGTAAATCCAAATAATGGGAGGCTTCAGGGGACAATGCTAGTTATTGACCAGAACGGTAGCATTCTGGTAATCAGACGGTATAAATACACTAGCATGAGTGGTTTAAGCGGATAGGTCCTTTTTGTATAGAAAGTTCATTGTATCATACGATGATCTGGCTGTTTTTTTTTTTTTTTGGTGTGTGTTCCAGCTTTTCTGGAAGGGATAAGGAAGTTCATGATGCTTGGCCTTCCCGCTAATTGGCACAGTTTTTTGGGAAGTATAACCCACAGCTGCTGGTCACCTTAAAAATGTTGCCTTCTAAAAAGCTGTTTCATAAAATTATCTCCAGGTATTACTCCCCAAACACAACCTTTTAGTTAAACTATCTATATTGCCATTAGAAAAGACCATTCTGTTGCCTCATAGTGATTTTGCTGCCAGTATGGCTAATGTGCTGTTGGCTGGGATTTCAGCAAAGGATTGTTATTTGCTGCCAGTATGGCTAATGTGCTGTTGGCTGGGATTTCAGCAAAGGATTGTTAAAAATAAAATAAAAAATTAATTTTAACTAATCCTGTAGCAGCCTACCTGAAAAGCAGAGCTAGCGCAAAGAGTTCCCCCATTTCCCCTAAGGAACCCTTTAGCGGTTTAGCGGTTTATTTTTTTATTATTGTTATTGTTTTTGCAACTCATGTGTGTGATTGTCAAAATAAAATAATAATGATATTACATACTTAAGGGTTTCCATAAAATAATAAACAGAACCAAAGTGCACTGCTAAATTGCCCTTTGGACTCTAGAAGGTGCCTTGATCTTTTCACTGTTCAGATGAATGTGTCTCTGTTCTCTCGTTCCCATTTATGTCCTTTCATATAAGTACAATGTAAGTGACAATTATCCTTCTTTCTTGAAATAAATAGACTTTCACAGTTATGATTGTCCTGTGTATTATGTACTGGCGACAGCAACATGCATTGCTATAATCTAAAAGGAATGTTTTAAGCAATTCTATTAATGTACGGCTGGTAGGACATGCTCCATTATAAAGGGGCTGTAATATACATTGAGATTTCCTCTTTGTTTGAAGTAATGTCCTGGTGTATATATTTTATTTCACAAATTCATTTGTATTTATTTTCTCAACCTCAAAAGGATGAAAGGCTGTGTTGAACTTGCTGGTAATAGAACGTGCAAGGTTTTTTCACTAAAATTGAACATTTTTATAAGCTAGCTATGCAGACGGCTTGGCTACTTTGGATGTAAATTTTAAAAATCACTTTATATGTGACAGTTCTCACTTAATAAAAAAAAAAAAAAGAAAAAAAAAAAAGAGGTTTATTGTTATAATCCAGGACTATTTAATTTTATCTTCCCTGGCCCCAAACCAATTGTCAAGCCTGGAGTAGTATGGTATGCAAGTCAGACCCTCGGACACGGCTCTGATACTCCCCTATCAGGCAGAATTATTTGGGACCCCTAGTTTACCGACTAATTCTTTCTCTGGTGTCCCATTTGAGAAGACACGAGAGACAAGAACGTGATAACGGAATGTGTGCATCAGTTGTGCTTGTGTTGCAAAAGGATAATGAATGCCATTTCATCCCACATAAACTGTCAACTTGATTCTACTAATCAACACCAGTAATGTACATTGCTCCCTTACACCCAGTAATATTTATACCTCCCAATACTGAAATAAATGCTTATTACGAACTCTCCTTTTACTGGAACTTAATCAAATGTAAATCATTTGTATAAAGTATGAATGTGGGTTATTTCTTTAAAATATATACAATACAGCAAATTTTAGAGTGGGCTTAATATAGCAGTAAACATCTGGTGGAACTGCATATACTATCAAACACACCCATAATAGGGACATTGAGTGGCATGGTCAGGGTGATGCTAAGAGCCCAGAGGAGACCGTATGAACAAAAGACAGTGGTGTAAATTCCGTAGACAGTGGTGACAGATTTTGTAGCGCTTTACAACATTATAAGAGGAGGTATTTAACTATAAATAGGACGATTACAAAAAAACTTACAGGAACGATAGGTTGAAGAGGACCCTTCTCACGAGCTTACAGTCTATAGGAGGTAGGGTATAAAACAATTGGAAAGGAGATAGCAATCACGGTGGGAGTGAAGCAGAGCTGAAGGAGAGAGTAGAGTGCTGCCCTTTAGGAGAGAGCAAGAGACAGGTATGTGAGGAAGAGGTTACTCTGGGAGGACATAAGCTTTCCTTTAGAGATGGGTTTTAAGGCACTTCTTAAACGATTCATAACTAGGGGAGAGTCTGATGGCAGTAGGCAGGCTATTCCATAGGAAGGGAGCCGCCCGCAAAAAGACCTGCAAGCGTGAGTTGTCTGTACAGGTGCAAGTAGCGGACAGGAGAAGGTCATGGGCAGAGCAGAGAGACCAAAAAGGGGTATACATATGGATCTGTGAAGAGATATAAGAGGGGCTAGAATTGTTCAATGCTTTATAGGTAAGGATTAGTACTTTGAATTTACTCCTATAGGACACAGGAAGCCACTGTAAGGAATGAGGGGTGAGAGTACTGACTGGAGAGGCAGCATTCATTACAGACTGTAGTGGGACAATATGGCTTTTGAGAAGACCAATTAGGAGAGCGTTACAATAATGAATGCGAGAAATTACTAGAGCATCTTGCGTAAGAAAGGGGCAGATGCTGGATATGTTTTTAAGATGTAATCTACAGGATTTGGTAACATACTGGATGTGAGGCGAGCCCAGAATCAACTATAACGCCAAGACAGCACACTTGCAAGGATGGACTGATGTGGATACCAATACCTTGAAGGGAGAGTAAAATAGGAGGATCAGTATTAGGAGGACTAAAGACAAGGAGCTCAGTTTTGGAGAGATTGAGTTTCAGAAAGCGAAAGGACATCCACTCAGAGATGGAAGAAAGGCAAGCAGTGACACGTTGCAGGACAGCAGGGGAGAGGTCCGGGGATGAAAGATATATCTGGATGTGGTAGTGGAATCCAAATGAGGGAATAAGTTTGCCAAGAGAGGCAGTATGAAGAGAAAATAGAAGGGGACCAAAGACAGAGCCTTGGGTGACTCCAGCCAAGACAGGGTGAAGCAAGGAGGTATCATTAGAAAAGGAGACACTGAATGAGCATTGGGAGAGAGAAGAAGAAAACCACGAGAGGACAGAGTCACAGAGACAGAGTGATTGAAGAGTTTGAAGAAGGAGAGCATGATCAACGGTGTCAAAGGCAACAGAGAGGTCAAGAAGAATTAGTATGGAGTAATGGTTTTGGATTTAGCTGTGATTAGGTTGTTAGTAAGTTTGATAAGAGCAGTCTTAGTAGAGTGGAGGGGGCAGAAGCCAGATTGAAGAGGGTCAAGGAAAGAGTTGGAATTGAGGAAGTGAGGCATACGGGTATTTTTCAGAAGCTTTGAGGAAAAAGGGAGCAGAGATGTGGGACGATAGAGGGGGAGGATGGGTCAAGAGATTTTTTTTTCAGGATGGGTACACAATAATGTATGTACCAAATACTTCAGAGACTCGGCGGAGCAGCATGTCAGCTTGGTAGGCCCCAACATGGCACCTGATTCGCCACACTCCAACTCTTCCCCATCTAGCCCAGGGGGATCCAAGAATTTAGACCCTGCAGTCGAACCAGATCTGAGGACAATCCTCCATAATCTTCCTACTGAGCAGGACATTGCTAATATGCTGGGCAAATTAGAAGCAGCGTTCCAAGCCAAAATGGATGCCGTCAGCTCCGACATATGGCAAGTAAACGAATAAGACACCATACAAACTCAACTGCACTCCCATCAAGAAACGGTGATGGAGCACAACACTGATTTATTGGCGCTCCACAGGTCATTCGACGACTTTGATAACAGGAGACGCCGCAAAAATTTGAGAGGACTTGGCCTTCCTAACAGGAGGATGTCCAACTGACACTCAGGGAGCTTTTTAATCTGGTTCTAGAAAAAACCCACTGACTCATCCATTCTATTTGACCAAGTCCACAGGGCACTCAAGCCAAGAGGTGCCCTAATGACCGACCAGGAGACGTCATATTTCGCCTCCATTACTCCGCATGCCAGGATAGCATCCTGGAAGCACTCAAATTATCTACACAGCCCCTACTATTCAAAGGCGTACCCATCAACATTTATCCTGATCTATCTTGGATGATGCTGCAGGCAAGACGGGCACTATGACCCATTACAGATCAACTGCGGGCACGGAATATGTGGTATAGATGGGGATTTCCGCTGGCTTCGATTGTCTCCTACAAAGGCACCCACCGTACATCCCATTCACTCCTAGGCAGACGTTGCACCGTTCACACGAGCTTTGGATCTTACCGAAACCAATATACTGGACTGGTATGGCCCATTCGATACCCTCTTTACCCTCTTTACATCACAGCTTCCGTAAAGACCTCGTTAGCAACAAACTGAGAAAACTTAGGCCGATGCCACAGGATCACTCACAAAAATAAGTGGACGCTTTGCAGATCATACCACAACGGACATCTTCCCTTTTGCCCTCAATCCTTATCAAGAAGTTGAGGGAGCCGTGGGGGACTGCGTTGCCATGCTCATGCTAGACTATGGCGGATAAGTTAAGACCATGGAGGGACTGGTATTCCTGCAGCGAACCTTCAACACAGACTGCGGCTGGTGATATTATCAGAACTTCACAAACTTAAAGCCAATGTGGCCTTCCTACAAGAAACACACTTCAAAAAAGAAGTAGCCCCCGCCATCAAAAACTGAAAATATCCTGTGGGATTCTTCAGCAACTACGACAGGGCCAAGGCATGTGGGGTAGCCACTCTGATCTCTTCACACACCCCCTTTGTGTACAAAGACCATAAATCAGATGAAGGGGGGAGACTCATACTGGTTAAGGGCCAAAGAGGCTCTAATTTGGTCACATTCACAAGCCTGTACCTCCCGAATAGACAACAAGGGAAAACCCTCAAGAGATGCCTGACCACTATGGAGGCATTCATGGAGGGCATGCTGATAGTGGGAGATGACTTATATTTACCTAGACACAACCTCGACCTCTACAAACTACCAAACAACTGCCCGTAGCCATATCACTGATCTCCATGACCAATCCCGACTTATAGACTGTTGGAGGGCCCTACATCCTCACTCAAAAGACTATTCTTTCTATTCAAAAACCTCATGCACATACTCAAGACTGGATATGTTTTTCCTACCCTAAACTCTACTCCACCATGCATCATCTTGTTTCTATGGTCCGATAACCTGGTTAGATCATGCGCCCTTATCCATGACCATTCACATCCTGTCCCTCCCATTAAAATCCTTTCAGTGGAAACTAAACAACCTTTTACTACTCCATACTGAAGTCGTATCTCACATCTGTACTACTCTGCAACACTACTTTATAGAAAACACCAGACCCTCCATATCCCCATATCCATGTGGGAAGCCCACAAATGCGTTGTAAGGGGAGAATTCATTGCACTAGCATCCACACTCAAAAAACGAAGGGAAAGACAAATGATCACATTAACGCAGGAGATTAGGAACCTTGAAGACAACCATAGGCAGCACAACTCGCTCCATACTTATAACTTCCTAATTACTAAAAGAACAGAACTGAAAAAATGATTAGCGTCCCAAACTAAAAATAAATTACTTCACTCAAAACAATCCTACTATGCTCAGGGGGGTAAATGTGGCAGGCTACTGGCTGCTGCTCTCAAACAATCTAAACAAAATTCCTACAAATCAAAGGTTAAAAACCAAAAAGGTGAAACTTTCCAAACTCTCCTGGACATTATGGATGCATTCCACTCCTTTTACACCAAGCTCTACAACCTACGGGATAACACACCAAACAGCGAGAACGTTGAAAACTTCCTATCCAAGAGACTCAAACAAACTATCCTCCAAAATATTGCACAAACACTAGATGCATCCATCACACTAGCTGAACTACGCCTAGCAGTATGGGAAACACTCTTAGTTAAAAGCCC